GCCGCTGCTATTGTCTAATGGCGGCGCCGCCGGGGTGGCCGCGGCTCGGCTGCTGCGGAGGCTCCGGCTCCACCTGCTGCCGCCGCCGCCGCCGCCCGAGCCCCGTGCGCGCCGCCGAGGGGGGGCGCGCGCGCCCGGGAGGCCTGCGGATCCCCACCCCGGCCCGCCTCCCGGGGCCAGCCCTACGCGGTGACCTTGGCACGGCGCGCCCCCGCCCCCCGCGGGCCCTCCCGGCGGGGGCGCCCTGGCAGCCGGCCAGGCCTCGGTTTCCCCATCTGTCAAAGAAAGCCCCCCGGCCCACCCCACCCGGCAGCCCCGCCATCTAAACCGCCGGCTCCGGCGTGGCACGACCTGGACGCGTGCCACGGACATGCTCTGTGACCTTGGCTCTGGCTGGGCAGCTGCTTCTCGCTCAGCCTCAGTTTCCTTTTCTGCAGAAAGACAGCGGGGATACCGCCTGCCTCACGGGAGCCACTCGTGCAGCGCACATTTATGGAGCGCCTACTGTGTGCCAGGCCCGTGGGGTGGCGGTGGGGGTGCCTTGAGACACACTAGACACAAATACAGGAGTCAAACCCCAGGCGGGAGGGTCAGATAGTGGTAACAGTTTTGGGGAAAAACAATCAGGGGTGAGGGCAGGCCCAGGAAGGAGCAAGGTTAAAACCAGGGGGAGGGGGATTCAGAGAGGGCCTCCTGGACCCCAAAAAGGACCTGAAGAAGGACAGCGGCAAGCTCAGAGGCATATGAGCAGAGATGTCCTCAAAGAGGCAGGGGCAGTACGTGCAAAGGGCCTGGGGTTTGCTGCGTTTGCTCCGGGGCACAGCTCCCAGAAGGCCTTGCACTTGGGTTAATGTTCTACTGTTGTGTTTTGAAATTCTTTGTCATTTTTGAACTAGGGGACTTTGTGGTTTTGTTTTGCACTGTGTCCTGCAAAGCCTGAAGCTGGTGAAGGGGGCAGGTCGTGCAGGGCCCCTTACAGCTTTTACTCAGGGTGAGGTGGGAGCCCCTGAGGGCTGCGGGCAGAGGAGGGACATGCCCTGGCTGGGACTTTGAAAGTCTCCCTCTCTCTGCCATGGGAGAACAGATGGGCCCCAGAGAGGCTGTTGGAATAAGGCTGTTACTTGAAGGTCACCCCTTAGGCAGGTGCTAAATACACAGTCTCTTCATCATCATCATCATCATCATCACCAACAAACTACCCGGCCTCCCTCCCCCAGTGAATGAATATAACTTCTTTGGACCTCAGGGGTTAGCATCTGTAAAATGGACTTAGAACTTCCGTTTCCTCTCCTGGGCAGGCCGGGGGCCGCAGCTAGGGTGGCATGAATGAGCGCCATTTAAGGGACCCCCAGAACCCCCCCCCGGGGATCGAGATAAATACTACTTTAGGGTAATATTTTAAAAAATAAAAACAAATGCAGAAAGAAAAAAGCGTCCATGACGCACAACATACCAACACGTTAAATAAAGACAGGATTAGCCGTGCAAATGCCGGGTCGCCCTGACCCTGATGCCATGACGCTGGTAAGAGAAGAGCAACAGACGTGGAAAGTTCCACAGTATTCTTGCCAGGCTCTGCAATAGACAAGACCCCGGAGGGCAAAGCGAAAGCGCAGGCCCTCCCGCTCAAAAGCGATGAGGGGTTTCGAGGGGACAGCAGAGCCAGTCACCCAGCACACGGCCCCCCTCCGAGTGCAGAGCCCTGTGCGACTGCATTCCCCGAATGCCCACGAAGCCGGTTCCGCTCCCATGTGCCCACCTTCCCACTCTCGCCCCCATGAGGACCAGACACCCTTTTCTGCTGGAGGCCACCTGCCAATATTTACTTAGGCACCTCAATGACCGAACACTCCCGTTCTAGAAGCCCCCCACACTGGTGGGGGAAGCACAGCTACCTCCAGCACGGTGGGGTCAGCGCTGGGCCGCCCAGAGGGGACCCAGGCCTTTGAAGGAGAAAGTCATTGTGAAATAGTCATTTTTCAGAAAAACAGGGTTTTTTTCCTGCCACCCCTGCACGCAGAGAAACCCGGAATTGTGACCCAAATGATGAATGAAAAACCCACCAACAGGTATGGGAGTACGTTTTGAATATGCACCAGGCTCTGCCTTAAGCACTTTAACCCTTGGGTTCCGGCATTATACTTATTTTATTTTTTGAGACAGGGCCTCATTCTGTCGCCCAGGCTGGAGTGCAGTGGCGTCATCACAGCTCACTGCAGCCTCCGCCTCCTGGGTTCAAGCGATCCTCCTGCCTCAGCCTCCCAAGTAGCTGGGACTACAGGCGCCACCACCACACCTGGCTAATTTTTCTATTTTTTAGTAGAGACGGGGTCTCGCACTTGCTCGGGCTGGTCTGGAACTCCTGAGCTCAAGGGATCCTCCTGCCTTGGCCTCCCAGAGTGCTAGGATTACAGGCGCGAGCCACCGTGCCTGGCACATAATCAGTTTAGAGATGGGGAGACTCAGACACACAGAGCTGAAGTGACTTGGCCAAAATCACACAGTGGGTAAATGGCAGAGTCTGGATTAATCCCAGGAACTTGGGCCTTTGACCACTATGTGATGTGGCTCTGGGGGCGGTAGGTGCGTGATGGCAGCCCATGGTGGGAACACTGGCCAGAGAGGGCAAGGAGACTAGATGATGTGGGCTCTGGGTCCTGGGCCGAGGAGCTGGGCTTTTTTCTGGCTCCTTCCATAGGGAGCCACGGAGGGTTGTAGAGCACTACTTTTCAGTCAGCGTCTGCTGTCTTCACATTCTGGCCCAGGTCGTTCCCTGGGGTGGGGCCATCCTGGGCCCTGCAGGCTGCTGAGCAGAGTCCCTGCCTCCACCCACCCGATGCCAGGAGCACCCCCCACCCCAGTCATGACAACCACAGATGTCCCCAGACATCGCCAAGTGTCCCTTGGGAGTCAGAATCACCCCTGGGTGAGAATCTCTGGCTTAGAGCATTGAAAGGACAGCAGAGCTGGTGGTAGAAGTTTCTCTCTGGTGGTCTCATCGGAGGAAGGGAAGGAGGAGACAGCAGGCCAGTGAGGAGGGGGCGGCCAGGGCGGGACCCACTGCGAGGAGGGGGTTTTGGGGGCAGCAAGAACAGAACCCGGGTGAGGAGGAGAAAGAGCCGACAGCTCCCCGCCGGAGGGAGCAGTTTTGACCGTGTGATTAATTTGTAGGGAACTGGGCCTTCAGAACGTCATGTCTGGGCGGCTGCTGCCCCCCTACCCCGCCCCCATTCCTGACTCCATGTCCACCCTGTGGTCTCTCCTCTCCCTGGGGTTCTCAGGGCCACATCTGGGGCCACGGAGGGGCGGGGGTTTCGTCTCATGTATCCAACCTTCCGAGACCGGCCTCAGGGCCTCATTACAAATGAGCTCTGGGCCCCGCGGCCTCCGGGGCAGAGCCAGGCACTGGCGTGTGATGGATGGAGCGGCAAGGCCATTAATCAGAGGTGGAGGAGGAAACAGGTGGCCGTGGCGCAGGCACGGGGACCTCCCTCTGATAGGCCTGGCGGAGGTGGGGCCTCGGCCGTCCAGCGCTGGGTTTGATGGAGGCCTGGCCTGCTACCGCCTGGGTACCTGGGCGAGTTTACTGGTCTGCACCTTAGTCCTCAAACGCACACTCCCGAAGGGAGCTATTATTCATTCAGCCCCTCGGTAAATATTTTCTGAGCACCTACTGTGTGTTGGGCATGGTTCTAAGCAAGGTTTAGTACCAGTGACCAATAGGGACAAAAATCCTTCCCTTTGCACAGATGACAAACGTAAAACTTGAGTCAGGTCCCGTCCCTCCTCTGCCCACAGCCCTGCATGGCTCCCAGCTCCCTCAGGGTAGAAGCCCAAGTCCTCCCTGAGGTCCACAAGGCCCTGCCCTGTCCCCTCCCCACCCTCCCCTCCTCCCTCTCTCCACCTCCTCACTCTGCTCCAGCCACACGGGCCTCCTCGCTGTGCCTCCAACACGCCAGGCGCGGTCCTGCCCCAGGGCCTTTGCATGGGTTGGTCCCTCTATCTCAAATGTTCTTCCCCAAATCTGAGTTTAGCGGATTCCTTCCTCTCCTTCCGGTGTTGGCTTAAATGTCACTTTCTCGTGAGGACTCCTTCGACT